TTTGACACTAAATTAAATGAAAGTCACCAATTAAACGACAGTTATTGGTAAACCGATGAATAAGGAAGTGTTCTTACATATCAGTTTTCAAATTCTCAGCAGATAGATGTTTTTCTCACAGAAATACCGGGAGCAAAATTTTCGTGTTATTCAAACATGGCAGTCACCGGAAGTCATATCTACACATATATCTGCCTATTAATCAGTCCCATCTTAGGGTAACGGCCGAACTCAGCGAGACAGGCCGAGTTACACTTTAATAATTAGTATTAAACGTGAATGTGCAAGAAATTCATTTGTAGTTTCAGTAGTAATATTAAACGTAGCCCTTCGATTGTTTGACGGCCTTTAGGCAGAGCGAATCATTCCCTCGTGCGGTCGGTTTAATTTACCTTCTATTACTTAAATAAAGCCAAAACCAATTCAGGATTATGACAGTTGTTTGCCATTCGTTTGAGTTTTTGATTTTGCAAAATGATTAGAAACTTTTCGTTTTGAATAATCCTTTTGTTATTTAACTTCCAAAGGTTTCCTTGCCATGCAATGTCTAACAGGTAGACAGAAATTGTTTTGTCGTTATTGCTACTCTAGTGAACAATTTTGTCGTTGCTAGTTCGCAAGTAAATAATTTTGTCCAAGTAAATGATTTTGTCGTTGCTAGTAGACTGGAGTAAATGTGTGGGCATGTCTCATCATTTAAAATTGAGAATGGAAATGGGGAATGTGTCAAAGAGACAACAACCCGACCACAGAACAGACAACAGCAGAAGGCCACCAACAGGTCTTCAATGCAGCGAGAAATTCCCGCACCCGGAGGCGTCCTTCAGCTGGCCCCTAAACAAATATATATACTAGTTCAGTGATAATGAACGCCATACTAAACTCCAAATTGTACACAAGAAACTAAAATTAAAAATAATACAAGACTAACAAAGGCTAGAGGCTCCTGACTTGGGACAGGCGCAAAAATGCGGCGGGGTTAAACATGTTTATGAGATCTCAACCCTCCCCCTATACCTCTAGCCAATGTAGAAAAGTAAACGCATAATTTACATGTTTAAGAGTATAGTGTGACGTTCATTTTCACTGAACTAGTACACATATTTGTGAAGCCCGCGTGATATTCCCGCTGTGTTGAAGCCCAATTGGTGACCTTCGGCTGTTTTCCGCTCTTAGGTCGAGTTGTTGCATATTTGACACGTTCCACATATCCTCATATTACACACATGATTGAAATGTCGAAGAATGTTCTTACTAGCGATTGGTCATATGCAATGTTACTAGGTCATGGATTGATTTGACAAACCCACCCTTACATACAATTGTCATTATTTTGAACCAATTATATAAGTAATTATCATGTTATATGTTTTATCATTTATCGACAGTGTTGAACTTTATAGGTCTCTGTAGCACATTTCAAATCAATGTACATGTCACTATTAAGTGTGGACCCTAGGAGCAAAGTCAAATTCCTTAAATAGAAATGAATCATAACAATAATTTGGATCTTGACATATATACTATTATTTTTCAAAACATCTATGATTCTCATGTGAAATGCCTCCTTTTGTCCTGCAGAGACAATTCAAATAGATTTAATTCTGAGATATATGCTACAAAAGCCATAGAAATTGTCCTTTGACAGTTTAAAGTGAAACAGACAACCACACAGATATATTTATATGCGACTTGGGGTGAGAACAGTTCACAACGTCTCATGAATCCGAAGATATCTATGCTAAAATTAAAACTGTCTAGAAAGTTGAGTAATAAGGATACAACAAAATAATCACTTGCTAATACCGACATATAAAGTGCACAGGACAAAATGGTTCGACTAATTTTCAGTGATCCGTCCAGTAGTGTAAGCATAACAGTTGAGACAAGTCCAACGATTGCTACGACTGTAGTTATGAGTTGTTTTCTTGCGAGAGAGCTTTCACATGTTTATTATGTCTTTGTTATTTATTTGTTAATTAAATAGAATTTTGTTGGGATGTATAAATACTCATCCACGCTGGCTGTGTTTATTATTGCCCCCCCCCCCCCCTTGCTATGGTTTTTTTTATCATCCCTGTTTTACCCTGTGTTTGTTATATGTCTGTAATACTTAAGTCTGTTAGTCGGATATTTTGTAACAGTTTTTGTAAGAGTTATTTTACTGCTTTGCCTATTATTTCTTATTCCGTAATTGTGATCCTTATTCAATGTTACAACCTCCGGTCTTTTTCATTTTCCCTTTACCCCTACTTATACGCAATGAAAAGAAATCGAAAAACAATCCGACTTCTTGGATATCCACGTGCTAAAAAATAGAATTCCTAGCCGATCAAAATCGTCCTACTACATTAAGCACTGTGTACAATTGTGCCAAAGGAGGCAATGCTCTGCAGCCGGATTGTTAAACAAAAATGGATATCCACCAGTTTTCCCGTGCAATGCCAGAAAATGACTGACCTGTTCCAGTTTAACTTCTCACAATAGGTCAAAAGTGAACGGGAGAGGAGCTTAAGTCCTGTTAATCAATAAATTTTTATAAATGAAGATCTAACTGCAATGTGATTCAAGTTGTTCCAGTTTGTTTATAAGATGGAAACAGTGAAATCCGTATTTACTCGCGACGACAAAATTCATTGCTTGATGAATCTAAGGTGTGCGTGCTCGGATAAATATGTTTCTGGCGAATACCAGATACCAACACATTAAAACCATTTCTGTAGGTTGCATACGTTTCCATTCAATGTGATCTGCAGTTGTCATGGCAAGAAATCACCTTTAAATTGTAGCCAATTGTTTACTTTTAATGTTCATTTTATTTTTGTGGCTTTTTATCATAACGTTCGAAGATTTAAGCATTCTAATCTACTGTTTAGCTACTGTTATTGCAAGCGTTTTTCGTAACTGACAGTACAGAACACGACGATTTAAATTTTCATATAATCTGCAAATCCTGAAATTTAAAACTTTATAAGAAAAAAAGCAATACTGATAAACCTAATTAGGTGTTCATTTCTAGGAAAAGCTGGTTTTTTATATAATATGCTAGAATCTTTCTCTAAGGTGTGTCCTAATGCTTCAGTCTTTTCTCTTATTCCTCCAATGAATGATGAAGTAACCAGAGAAACATCAGTCAATGTTAAACATGCAAAAGAGGAAAAAATTTCAAGGATCTCTTAAAAGTTACTAAAATGTGAATATTAAAGAACTAACTGAACAGGAGTTAATCGACAAATCTGATCAGCTTTACAAGAACTATCATTGTTCAATATCTCAAGCTGCAAATATATTCATAATAAGTAAGTAGTCTTTGGTGTGAGCATAGAAAAGGTGTCGTATTAAAGCTTCAAAAAAAAAATTCGGTTTTTACATTAAGAACAACTACAAATCCAAATAAAGTGATCATGAGACTTGCAGGATACAACTCGTATGATCTAAGTAAGAAACAAGCCATTAAACTGGGATAAGAAAATGAAGCAACAACCAGAGATGCCAACATTCAATATATGGATTAAGAAAAAGTCATTTAAATTTTGAGTGTATATTATCAGGGTTAAAGATAAGTGAAACATTATTTTCTTGGTGCTTCAGCAGATGGTGTAATAACCCAAGTTTAATTTCACATGTTCGTCTATGACACTAATTATTGTGATAGTGTTGTAATGGTAAACACTTTGCAAAGATTTTCATACTGCTGCTTTAAAAGAAATGGTCATACCTTTTTAGCTCACCTGACCTCAAAGGTCAAGTGAGCTTTTTCTCATCACTTTGCGTCCGTCGTCCGTCGTCCGTAAACTTTTACAAAAATCTTCTCCTCTGAAACTACTGGGCCAAATGCACCCAAACTTAAACACAATCATCATTCAAGTATCTAGTTTAAAAAATGTGTCCGATGACCCCGCCAACCTACCAAGATGGTCGCCATTGCTAAAAATAGAACATAGGGGTAAAATGTAGATTTTGGCTTATATCTCTGAAACCAAAGCATTTAGAGCAAATCTGACACGGGGTAAAATTGTTTATCAGGTCAAGATCTATCTGCCCTGAAATTTTCACATGAATCGGACAACCCGTTGTTGGGTTGCTGCCCCTGAATTGGTAATTTTAAGGAAATTTTGCCGTTTTTGGTTATTATCTTGAATATTATTATAGATAGAGATAAACTGTAAACAGCAATAATGTTCAGCAAAGTAAGATCTACAAAAAAGTCACCTTGACCAAAATGGTCAGTTCACCCCTTAAGGAGTTATTGCCCTTTATAGTCAATTTTTAACCATTTTTCGTAAATTTTTGTAATCTTTTACAAAAATCTTCTCCTCTGAAACTACTAAGACAAATTTAACCAAACTTGTCCACAATCATCATTAGGGTATCTAGTTTAAAAAATGTGTCCGGTGACCCGGCCAACCAACCAAGATGGCCGCCATGGCTTAAAATAGAACATAGGGGTAAAATGTAGATTTTGGCTCATATTTCTGAAACCAAAGCATTTAGAGCAAATCTGACACGGGGTAAAATTGTTTATCAGGTCAAGATCTATCTGCCCTGAAATTTTCAGATGAATCGGACAACCCGTTGTTGGGTTGCTGCCCCTGAATTGGTAATTTTAAGGAAATTTTGCCGTTTTTGGTTATTATCTTGAATATTATTATAGATAGAGATAAACTGTAAACAGCAATAATGTTCAGCAAAGTAAGATCTACAAAAAAGTCACCTTGACCAAAATGGTCAGTTGACCCCTTAAGGAGTTATTGCCCTTTATAGTCAATTTTTAACCATTTTTCGTAAATTTTTGTAATCTTTTACAAAAATCTTCTCCTCTGAAACTACTAAGACAAATTTAACCAAACTTGTCCACAATCATCATTAGGGTATCTAGTTTAAAAAATGTGTCCGGTGACCCGGCCAACCAACCAAGATGGCCGCCATGGCTAAAAATAGAACATAGGGGTAACATGTAGATTTTGGCTCATATCTCTGAAACCAAAGCATTTAGAGCAAATCTGACGTGGTGTAAAATTGTTTATCAGGTCAAGATCTATCTGCCCTGAAATTCTCAGATGAATCGGACAACCCGTTGTTGGGTTGCTGCCCCTGAATTGGTAATTTTAAGGAAATTTTGCCGTTTTTGGTTATTATCTTGAATATTATTATAGATAGAGATAAACTGTAAACAGCAATAATGTTCAGCAAAGTAAGATCTACAAATAAGTCAACTTGACCAAAATGGTCATTTGACCCCTTAAGGAGTTATTGCCCTTTATAGTCAATTTTTAACAATTTTTCGTAAATTTTTGTAATCTTTTACAAAAATCTTCTCCTCTGAAACTACTAAGACAAATTTAACCAAACTTGTCCACAATCATCATTAGGGTATCTAGTTTAAAAAATGTGTCCGATGACCCCGCCCGCGAACAAGATGGCTGACATGGCTAAAAAATAGTACATAGGGTAAAATGCAGTTTTTGGCTCATATCTCTGAAACCAAAGCATTTAGAGCGAACCTGATGAGGATAAAATTGTTCATTAGGTCAAGATCTATCTGCCCTGAAATTTTCAGACCAATCAGGCAACCCGTTGTTGGGTTGCTGCCCCTACATTGGTAATTTTAAGGAAATTTTGCCGTTTTTAGCTCACCTGACCTGAAAGGTCAAGTGAGCTTTTCTCATCACTTGGCGTCTGTCGTCCGTCGTCCGTAAACTTTTACAAAAATCTTCTCCTCTGAAACAACTGGGCCAAATTTGACCAAACTTGGCCACAATCATCATTGGGGTATCTAGTTTAAAAAATGTGTCCGGTGACCCGGCCAACCAACCAAGATGGCCGCCATGGCTAAAAATAGAACATAGGGGTAAAATGTAGATTTTGGCTTATATCTCTGAAACCAAAGCATTTAGAGCAAATCTGACATGGGTTAAATTGTTTATCAGGTCAAGATCTATCTGCCCTGAAATTTTCAGATGAATCAGACAACCCGTTGTTGGGTTGCTGCCACTGAATTGGTAATTTTAAGGAAATTTTGCCGTTTTTGGTTATTATCTTGAATATTATCATAGATAGAGATAAACTGGAAACAGCAATAATGTTCAGCAAAGTAAGATCTACAAATAAGTCAACTTGACCAAAATGGTCATTTGACCCCTTAAGGAGTTATTGCCCTTTATAGTCAATTTTTAACCATTTTTCGTAAATTTTTGTAATCTTTTACAAAAATCTTCTCCTCTGAAACTACTAAGACAAATTTAACCAAACTTGTCCACAATCATCATTAGGGTATTTTGTTTAAAAAATGTGTCAGATGACCCCGCCCTCGAACCAAGATGGCCGCCATGGCTAAAAAATAGTACATAGGGTAAAATGCAGTTTTTGGCTCATATCTCTGAAACCAAAGCATTAAGAGCAAATCTGATGAGGATAAAATTGTTCATTAGGTCAAGATCTATCTGCCCTGAAATTTTCAGACCAATCAGGCAACCCGTTGTTGGGTTGCTGCCCCTGAATTGGTAATTTTAAGGAAATTTTGCAGTTTTTGGTTATTATCTTGAACATTATTATAGATAGAGATAAACTGTAAACAGCAATAATGTTCAGCAAAGTAAGATCTACAAAAAAGTCACCTTGACCAAAATGGTCAGTTGACCCCTTAAGGAGTTATTGCCCTTTATAGTCAATTTTTAACCATTTTTCGTAAATTTTTGTAATCTTTTACAAAAATCTTCTCCTCTGAAACTACTAAGACAAATTTAACCAAACTTGTCCACAATCATCATTAGGGTATCTAGTTTAAAAAATGTGTCCGGTGACCCGGCCAACCAACCAAGATGGCCGCCATGGCTAAAAATAGAACATAGGGGTAACATGTAGATTTTGGCTCATATCTCTGAAACCAAAGCATTTAGAGCGAATCTGACATGGGGTAAAATTGTTTATCAGGTCAAGATCTATCTACCCTGAAATTCTCAGATGAATCGGACAACCCGTTGTTGGGTTGCTGCCCCTGAATTGGTAATTTTAAGGAAATTTTGCCGTTTTTGGTTATTATCTTGAATATTATTATAGATAGAGATAAACTGTAAACAGCAATAATGTTCAGCAAAGTAAGATCTACAAATAAGTCAACTTGACCAAAATGGTCATTTGACCCCTTAAGGAGTTATTGCCCTTTACAGTCAATTTTTAACAATTTTTCGTAAATTTTTGTAATCTTTTACAAAAATCTTCTCCTCTGAAACTACTAAGACAAATTTAACCAAACTTGTCCACAATCATCATTAGGGTATCTAGTTTAAAAAATGTGTCCGATGACCCCGCCCGCGAACAAAATGGCTGACATGGCTAAAAAATAGTACATAGGGTAAAATGCAGTTTTTGGCTCATATCTCTGAAACCAAAGCATTTAGAGCGAACCTGATGAGGATAAAATTGTTCATTAGGTCAAGATCTATCTGCCCTGAAATTTTCAGACCAATCAGGCAACCCGTTGTTGGGTTGCTGCCCCTGAATTGGTAATTTTAAGGAAATTTTGCCGTTTTTAGCTCACCTGACCTGAAAGGTCAAGTGAGCTTTTCTCATCACTTGGCGTCTGTCGTCCGTCGTCCGTAAACTTTTACAAAAATCTTCTCCTCTGAAACTACTGGGCCAAATTTGACCAAACTTGGCCACAATCATCATTGGGGTATCTAGTTTAAAAAATGTGTCCGGTGACCCGGCCAACCAACCAAGATGGCCGCCATGGCTAAAAATAGAACATAGGGGTAAAATGTAGATTTTGGCTTATATCTCTGAAACCAAAGCATTTAGAGCAAATCTGACATGGGTTAAATTGTTTATCAGGTCAAGATCTATCTGCCCTGAAATTTTCAGATGAATCAGACAACCCGTTGTTGGGTTGCTGCCACTGAATTGGTAATTTTAAGGAAATTTTGCCGTTTTTGGTTATTATCTTGAATATTATCATAGATAGAGATAAACTGGAAACAGCAATAATGTTCAGCAAAGTAAGATCTACAAATAAGTCAACTTGACCAAAATGGTCATTTGACCCCTTAAGGAGTTATTGCCCTTTATAGTCAATTTTTAACCATTTTTCGTAAATTTTTGTAATCTTTTACAAAAATCTTCTCCTCTGAAACTACTAAGACAAATTTAACCAAACTTGTCCACAATCATCATTAGGGTATTTTGTTTAAAAAATGTGTCAGATGACCCCGCCCGCGAACCAAGATGGCCGCCATGGCTAAAAAATAGTACATAGGGTAAAATGCAGTTTTTGGCTCATATCTCTGAAACCAAAGCATTAAGAGCAAATCTGATGAGGATAAAATTGTTCATTAGGTCAAGATCTATCTGCCCTGAAATTTTCAGACCAATCAGGCAACCCGTTGTTGGGTTGCTGCCCCTGAATTGGTAATTTTAAGGAAATTTTGCCGTTTTTGGTTATTATCTTGAATATTATTATAGATAGAGATAAACTGTAAACAGCAATAATGTTCAGCAAAGTAAGATCTACAAAAAAGTCACCTTGACCAAAATGGTCAGTTGACCCCTTAAGGAGTTATTGCCCTTTACAGTCAATTTTTAACCATTTTTCGTAAATTTTTGTAATCTTTTACAAAAATCTTCTCCTCTGAAACTACTAAGACAAATTTAACCAAACTTGTCCACAATCATCATTAGGGTATCTAGTTTAAAAAATGTGTCCGGTGACCCGGCCAACCAACCAAGATGGCCGCCATGGCTAAAAATAGAACATAGGGGTAACATGTAGATTTTGGCTCATATCTCTGAAACCAAAGCATTTAGAGCAAATCTGACGTGGTGTAAAATTGTTTATCAGGTCAAGATCTATCTGCCCTGAAATTCTCAGATGAATCGGACAACCCGTTGTTGGGTTGCTGCCCCTGAATTGGTAATTTTAAGGAAATTTTGCCGTTTTTGGTTATTATCTTGAATATTATTATAGATAGAGATAAACTGTAAACAGCAATAATGTTCAGCAAAGTAAGATCTACAAATAAGTCAACTTGACCAAAATGGTCATTTGACCCCTTAAGGAGTTATTGCCCTTTATAGTCAATTTTTAACAATTTTTCGTAAATTTTTGTAATCTTTTACAAAAATCTTCTCCTCTGAAACTACTAAGACAAATTTAACCAAACTTGTCCACAATCATCATTAGGGTATCTAGTTTAAAAAATGTGTCCGATGACCCCGCCCGCGAACAAGATGGCTGACATGGCTAAAAAATAGTACATAGGGTAAAATGCAGTTTTAAGCTCATATCTCTGAAACCAAAGCATTTAGAGCGAACCTGATGAGGATAAAATTGTTCATTAGGTCAAGATCTATCTGCCCTGAAATTTTCAGACCAATCAGGCAACCCGTTGTTGGGTTGCTGCCCCTACATTGGTAATTTTAAGGAAATTTTGCCGTTTTTAGCTCACCTGACCTGAAAGGTCAAGTGAGCTTTTCTCATCACTTGGCGTCTGTCGTCCGTCGTCCGTAAACTTTTACAAAAATCTTCTCCTCTGAAACTACTGGGCCAAATTTGACCAAACTTGGCCACAATCATCATTGGGGTATCTAGTTTAAAAAATGTGTCCGGTGACCCGGCCAACCAACCAAGATGGCCGCCATGGCTAAAAATAGAACATAGGGGTAAAATGTAGATTTTGGCTTATATCTCTGAAACCAAAGCATTTAGAGCAAATCTGACATGGGTTAAATTGTTTATCAGGTCAAGATCTATCTGCCCTGAAATTTTCAGATGAATCAGACAACCCGTTGTTGGGTTGCTGCCACTGAATTGGTAATTTTAAGGAAATTTTGCCGTTTTTGGTTATTATCTTGAATATTATCATAGATAGAGATAAACTGGAAACAGCAATAATGTTCAGCAAAGTAAGATCTACAAATAAGTCAACTTGACCAAAATGGTCATTTGACCCCTTAAGGAGTTATTGCCCTTTATAGTCAATTTTTAACCATTTTTCGTAAATTTTTGTAATCTTTTACAAAAATCTTCTCCTCTGAAACTACTAAGACAAATTTAACCAAACTTGTCCACAATCATCATTAGGGTATTTTGTTTAAAAAATGTGTCAGATGACCCCGCCCGCGAACCAAGATGGCCGCCATGGCTAAAAAATAGTACATAGGGTAAAATGCAGTTTTTGGCTCATATCTCTGAAACCAAAGCATTAAGAGCAAATCTGATGAGGATAAAATTGTTCATTAGGTCAAGATCTATCTGCCCTGAAATTTTCAGACCAATCAGGCAACCCGTTGTTGGGTTGCTGCCCCTGAATTGGTAATTTTAAGGAAATTTTGCCGTTTTTGGTTATTATCTTGAATATTATTATAGATAGAGATAAACTGTAAACAGCAATAATGTTCAGCAAAGTAAGATCTACAAAAAAGTCACCTTGACCAAAATGGTCAGTTGACCCCTTAAGGAGTTATTGCCCTTTACAGTCAATTTTTAACCATTTTTCGTAAATTTTTGTAATCTTTTACAAAAATCTTCTCCTCTGAAACTACTAAGACAAATTTAACCAAACTTGTCCACAATCATCATTAGGGTATCTAGTTTAAAAAATGTGTCCGGTGACCCGGCCAACCAACCAAGATGGCCGCCATGGCTAAAAATAGAACATAGGGGTAACATGTAGATTTTGGCTCATATCTCTGAAACCAAAGCATTTAGAGCAAATCTGACATGGGGTAAAATTGTTTATCAGGTCAAGATCTATCTGCCCTGAAATTCTCAGATGAATCGGACAACCCGTTGTTGGGTTGCTGCCCCTGAATTGGTAATTTTAAGGAAATTTTGCCGTTTTTGGTTATTATCTTGAATATTATTATAGATAGAGATAAACTGTAAACAGCAATAATGTTCAGCAAAGTAAGATCTACAAATAAGTCAACTTGACCAAAATGGTCATTTGACCCCTTAAGGAGTTATTGCCCTTTATAGTCAATTTTTAACAATTTTTCGTAAATTTTTGTAATCTTTTACAAAAATCTTCTCCTCTGAAACTACTAAGACAAATTTAACCAAACTTGTCCACAATCATCATTAGGGTATCTAGTTTAAAAAATGTGTCCGATGACCCCGCCCGCGAACAAGATGGCTGACATGGCTAAAAAATAGTACATAGGGTAAAATGCAGTTTTTGGCTCATATCTCTGAAACCAAAGCATTTAGAGCGAAACTGATGAGGATAAAATTGTTCATTAGGTCAAGATCTATCTGCCCTGAAATTTTCAGACCAATCAGGCAACCCGTTGTTGGGTTGCTGCCCCTGAATTGGTAATTTTAAGGAAATTTTGCCGTTTTTAGCTCACCTGACCTGAAAGGTCAAGTGAGCTTTTCTCATCACTTGGCGTCTGTCGTCCGTCGTCCGTAAACTTTTACAAAAATCTTCTCCTCTGAAACTACTGGGCCAAATTTGACCAAACTTGGCCACAATCATCATTGGGGTATCTAGTTTAAAAAATGTGTCCGGTGACCCGGCCAACCAACCAAGATGGCCGCCATGGCTAAAAATAGAACATAGGGGTAAAATGTAGATTTTGGCTTATATCTCTGAAACCAAAGCATTTAGAGCAAATCTGACATGGGTTAAATTGTTTATCAGGTCAAGATCTATCTGCCCTGAAATTTTCAGATGAATCAGACAACCCGTTGTTGGGTTGCTGCCACTGAATTGGTAATTTTAAGGAAATTTTGCCGTTTTTGGTTATTATCTTGAATATTATCATAGATAGAGATAAACTGGAAACAGCAATAATGTTCAGCAAAGTAAGATCTACAAATAAGTCAACTTGACCAAAATGGTCATTTGACCCCTTAAGGAGTTATTGCCCTTTATAGTCAATTTTTAACCATTTTTCGTAAATTTTTGTAATCTTTTACAAAAATCTTCTCCTCTGAAACTACTAAGACAAATTTAACCAAACTTGTCCACAATCATCATTAGGGTATTTTGTTTAAAAAATGTGTCAGATGACCCCGCCCGCGAACCAAGATGGCTGCCATGGCTAAAAAATAGTACATAGGGTAAAATGCAGTTTTTGGCTCATATCTCTGAAACCAAAGCATTAAGAGCAAATCTGATGAGGATAAAATTGTTCATTAGGTCAAGATCTATCTGCCCTGAAATTTTCAGACCAATCAGGCAACCCGTTGTTGGGTTGCTGCCCCTGAATTGGTAATTTTAAGGAAATTTTGCCGTTTTTGGTTATTATCTTGAATATTATTATAGATAGAGATAAACTGTAAACAGCAATAATGTTCAGCAAAGTAAGATCTACAAAAAAGTCACCTTGACCAAAATGGTCAGTTGACCCCTTAAGGAGTTATTGCCCTTTATAGTCAATTTTTAACCATTTTTCGTAAATTTTTGTAATCTTTTACAAAAATCTTCTCCTCTGAAACTACTAAGACAAATTTAACCAAACTTGTCCACAATCATCATTAGGGTATCTAGTTTAAAAAATGTGTCCGGTGACCCGGCCAACCAACCAAGATGGCCGCCATGGCTAAAAATAGAACATAGGGGTAACATGTAGATTTTGGCTCATATCTCTGAAACCAAAGCATTTAGAGCAAATCTGACATGGGGTAAAATTGTTTATCAGGTCAAGATCTATCTGCCCTGAAATTCTCAGATGAATCGGACAACCCGTTGTTGGGTTGCTGCCCCTGAATTGGTAATTTTAAGGAAATTTTGCCGTTTTTGGTTATTATCTTGAATATTATTATAGATAGAGATAAACTGTAAACAGCAATAATGTTCAGCAAAGTAAGATCTACAAATAAGTCAACTTGACCAAAATGGTCATTTGACCCCTTAAGGAGTTATTGCCCTTTATAGTCAATTTTTAACAATTTTTCGTAAATTTTTGTAATCTTTTACAAAAATCTTCTCCTCTGAAACTACTAAGACAAATTTAACCAAACTTGTCCACAATCATCATTAGGGTATCTAGTTTAAAAAATGTGTCCGATGACCCCGCCCGCGAACAAGATGGCTGACATGGCTAAAAAATAGTACATAGGGTAAAATGCAGTTTTTGGCTCATATCTCTGAAACCAAAGCATTTAGAGCGAACCTGATGAGGATAAAATTGTTCATTAGGTCAAGATCTATCTGCCCTGAAATTTTCAGACCAATCAGGCAACCCGTTGTTGGGTTGCTGCCCCTACATTGGTAATTTTAAGGAAATTTTGCCGTTTTTAGCTCACCTGACCTGAAAGGTCAAGTGAGCTTTTCTCATCACTTGGCGTCTGTCGTCCGTCGTCCGTAAACTTTTACAAAAATCTTCTCCTCTGAAACTACTGGGCCAAATTTGACCAAACTTGGCCACAATCATCATTGGGGTATCTAGTTTAAAAAATGTGTCCGGTGACCCGGCCAACCAACCAAGATGGCCGCCATGGCTAAAAATAGAACATAGGGGTAAAATGTAGATTTTGGCTTATATCTCTGAAACCAAAGCATTTAGAGCAAATCTGACATGGGTTAAATTGTTTATCAGGTCAAGATCTATCTGCCCTGAAATTTTCAGATGAATCAGACAACCCGTTGTTGGGTTGCTGCCACTGAATTGGTAATTTTAAGGAAATTTTGCCGTTTTTGGTTATTATCTTGAATATTATCATAGATAGAGATAAACTGGAAACAGCAATAATGTTCAGCAAAGTAAGATCTACAAATAAGTCAACTTGACCAAAATGGTCATTTGACCCCTTAAGGAGTTATTGCCCTTTATAGTCAATTTTTAACCATTTTTCGTAAATTTTTGTAATCTTTTACAAAAATCTTCTCCTCTGAAACTACTAAGACAAATTTAACCAAACTTGTCCACAATCATCATTAGGGTATTTTGTTTAAAAAATGTGTCAGATGACCCCGCCCGCGAACCAAGATGGCCGCCATGGCTAAAAAATAGTACATAGGGTAAAATGCAGTTTTTGGCTCATATCTCTGAAACCAAAGCATTAAGAGCAAATCTGATGAGGATAAAATTGTTCATTAGGTCAAGATCTATCTGCCCTGAAATTTTCAGACCAATCAGGCAACCCGTTGTTGGGTTGCTGCCCCTGAATTGGTAATTTTAAGGAAATTTTGCCGTTTTTGGTTATTATCTTGAATATTATTATAGATACAGATAAACTGTAAACAGCAATAATGTTCAGCAAAGTAAGATCTACAAAAAAGTCACCTTGACCAAAATGGTCAGTTGACCCCTTAAGGAGTTATTGCCCTTTACAGTCAATTTTTAACCATTTTTCGTAAATTTTTGTAATCTTTTACAAAAATCTTCTCCTCTGAAACTACTAAGACAAATTTAACCAAACTTGTCCACAATCATCATTAGGGTATCTAGTTTAAAAAATGTGTCCGGTGACCCGGCCAACCAACCAAGATGGCCGCCATGGCTAAAAATAGAACATAGGGGTAACATGTAGATTTTGGCTCATATCTCTGAAACCAAAGCATTTAGAGCAAATCTGACATGGGGTAAAATTGTTTATCAGGTCAAGATCTATCTGCCCTGAAATTCTCAGATGAATCGGACAACCCGTTGTTGGGTTGCTGCCCCTGAATTGGTAATTTTAAGGAAATTTTGCCGTTTTTGGTTATTATCTTGAATATTATTATAGATAGAGATAAACTGTAAACAGCAATAATGTTCAGCAAAGTAAGATCTACAAATAAGTCAACTTGACCAAAATGGTCATTTGACCCCTTAAGGAGTTATTGCCCTTTATAGTCAATTTTTAACAATTTTTCGTAAATTTTTGTAATCTTTTACAAAAATCTTCTCCTCTGAAACTACTAAGACAAATTTAACCAAACTTGTCCACAATCATCATTAGGGTATCTAGTTTAAAAAATGTGTCCGATGACCCCGCCCGCGAACAAGATGGCTGACATGGCTAAAAAATAGTACATAGGGTAAAATGCAGTTTTTGGCTCATATCTCTGAAACCAAAGCATTTAGAGCGAAACTGATGAGGATAAAATTGTTCATTAGGTCAAGATCTATCTGCCCTGAAATTTTCAGACCAATCAGGCAACCCGTTGTTGGGTTGCTGCCCCTGAATTGGTAATTTTAAGGAAATTTTGCCGTTTTTAGCTCACCTGACCTGAAAGGTCAAGTGAGCTTTTCTCATCACTTGGCGTCTGTCGTCCGTCGTCCGTAAACTTTTACAAAAATCTTCTCCTCTGAAACTACTGGGCCAAATTTGACCAAACTTGGCCACAATCATCATTGGGGTATCTAGTTTAAAAAATGTGTCCGGTGACCCGGCCAACCAACCAAGATGGCCGCCATGGCTAAAAATAGAACATAGGGGTAAAATGTAGATTTTGGCTTATATCTCTGAAACCAAAGCATTTAGAGCAAATCTGACATGGGTTAAATTGTTTATCAGGTCAAGATCTATCTGCCCTGAAATTTTCAGATGAATCAGACAACCCGTTGTTGGGTTGCTGCCACTGAATTGGTAATTTTAAGGAAATTTTGCCGTTTTTGGTTATTATCTTGAATATTATCATAGATAGAGATAAACTGGAAACAGCAATAATGTTCAGCAAAGTAAGATCTACAAATAAGTCAACTTGACCAAAATGGTCATTTGACCCCTTAAGGAGTTATTGCCCTTTATAGTCAATTTTTAACCATTTTTCGTAAATTTTTGTAATCTTTTACAAAAATCTTCTCCTCTGAAACTACTAAGACAAATTTAACCAAACTTGTCCACAATCATCATTAGGGTATTTTGTTTAAAAAATGTGTCAGATGACCCCGCCCGCGAACCAAGATGGCTGCCATGGCTAAAAAATAGTACATAGGGTAAAATGCAGTTTTTGGCTCATATCTCTGAAACCAAAGCATTAAGAGCAAATCTGATGAGGATAAAATTGTGATGAACTTTTTCAGCGTCCGCGACCGAATTACCATACAGAAGAGGAGACATGGTTTGAGAACAAACCACTTGGAAAAAATACTTTTAGTATATTTACATAATAGTTATTGAAAAACTGGTCGTTATCGTGATATATGGACTGCCCATACGACTCAGTCATTATCGCTGTCTCAGTAAATACCACTGTCCTGTGGGCAGTCCATATATCACGATAATGACCAGCTTTTCAATAACTATTATGTAAATATAAGTACCCACCACCTATTATTACACGTAATGTACAGCACTTTTAATTTAAAAAGGCATACTATTGGTTTAAAAAGTCCATTTACATAACTTCACAATTAAAAAGTCTATTCCTCGTGTGATTGAAAACATACAAAAACTGTCCAACAACTGTCTGTTCGCTTCCACTATAAAATGACCTCTGCTTAACATCCAATCAAAATGGGAGAACAAAACTATTTTTATTTAGCTGTTTGGCGCTTACATCCGAATACAATCTTGGTTAAATGTTCAATTTCTCTACATCAATGAACCAAAAAGGAATGTTCTACAGTAGATATTAGTCGTTTTCAGCATGAAACACAATCATCTGGATCAGAAGGGAAAGGTTTATTACAGATCATCGCACCTGTATTCTGATAAACTCGAAGTGGTTTTTAACATTAGATATATTTGTCTTCTTCAAATGTGCGGTCGGTTTTCTTTGTCCGAATTGCATTATTTTTTCACTTTAATGAAATTGAAATTGAAATAGGATATATTTTATTTGGTTCTGTAATGAAATCCTTCATTTTGGAGTTATGATATTTATAGAAAAAGTAAAATTGCAAGAACCATTTGACCTAAAAATGAATCTTTTAAGTTAAATCTAGAGCTCTTCACGATATGTGATACAGTTATGAATTTTGAGTTGTGAATTGAAGGCTATGTGATAAATGTCTTTTACTACTTTTGTGTCAATCCTACCAAGTAATAAGAACATGAAAATTTGAAAACTATCAACAACAAAAATCTTGTATATTTTTGTTTGATAGCAAAAAAAATCATTGACGCCATACACATCAGAATATATTTTTAGAAAACATGACATTTTTCCTTTAAAGAGGCACTAGCTGTCAAATTCGTGTTCACCGATTTGACTCAAATTCTAATATTTGATTTATAACAATGTAAAACATTTATCCAAATTATAAAAAGTCTAAAATAAACAATTTACAGGGCATGGGCTCAAAATGTAGCTTCGTTTCGTGTGTATTTTAGGCTAGACGCCATCTAATTAACTATCGAGTTGACCTCCGATGACCATATAAGAAATATAAACATAACTAAAGATATAAATAGATAAAGCGAACTCGTGCAATTGGATTTTTCTAGGTCTGTTTAATTTCATATTATAGATTAATAAAATGCTCCGCAGGGCGCAGCTTGATACGACCGCAGAGGTCGAACCCTGAACAGTTGGAGCAAGTATGGACACAACATTCAAGCTTGATACAGCTTTGCATTTGGATTGTGATTAAATATTTGACACAGCATAGGTTTCTAACACAGAATGAATGTGGTCTAAGAACTTAAAAATTTTAAATTGGACATTCACCTATTATGGTCCAATATCCAAAATCTAAATACATGGTTAGATTCAGCATATCAAAGAACCCCAAGAATTCAATTTTTGATGAAATCAAACAAAGTTTAATTTTGGACCCTTTTGACCTCAATGTGGACAAAGTTGATAACGGGGCCCAAAAATCAAAAATCTAAATACATGGTTAAATTCAGCATATCAAAGAACCCCATATGTTCAATTTTTGTTGAAATCAAACAAAGTTTAATTTTGGACCCCGATTTGGACCAACTTGAAAACTGGGCCCATAATCAAAAATCTAAATACATGTTTAGACTCAGCATATCAAAGAACCCTAAGAACTCAATTTTTGTTAAAATCAAACTAAGTTTAATTTTGGACCCTTTGGACCTTAATGTAGACCAATTTGAAAACGGAACCAAAAATTAAGAATCTAAATACACCGTTAGATTCGGCATATCAAAGAACCCCAATAATTCAATTTTTGATGAAATCAAACAAAGTTTAATTTTGGACCCTTTGGACCTCAATGTGGACCAATTTAAAAACGGGGCCCAAAATCCAAAATCTAAATACACAGTTAGATTCAGCATATTAAAGTACCCCAAGAATTCAAGAATAAAACCCCATTGAAATTGGTCAAGAAATAAGCAATTTATACAAAGTATGTTCTTTTGCACAATACTGTGCAATTAAATATTTCTTGCTATTGCGCAATACTGTACAATTGACAATTTCTGGCTATTGCGCAATATTGTGCTATTGGATATTTCTTGCTATTGCGCAATACTGTGCAATTGAAGATTTCTTGCTATTGCGCAATACTGTGCAATTGAAGATTTCTTGCTATTGTGCAATACTGTGCAATTGAAAATTTCTTGCTATTGCACAATACTTATTATATAATAATTTACACATCCTGTTTGGTTTGTATCTCCTACCATATCATTATTATTTGCTTTTAAATATAAATCAGAAATAACCAACTTAAAATGGAAAATTTCAAAAGAAAAGAAAAAGGAAAAAAAGAAAAAAAAGGAAAAAAAAAAAATCCCCCCCCCAAATTTTTTGAACCCCCTTATGATTCATCACCCCCAAACTCAATCCCAGCCTTCCCTTTGTGGTATGGTACCTTGCAGTACAATTTCAGAGAGATCCATACACTTGAACACAAGTTATTGTCTGGAAACTAGAAAAATGTGTTTTTTTTTGGCCCCAAATTCCTAAACGTTTAGGGCAATTACCCCCAAACTCAAACCCAGCTTTCCCTTTGTGATATGGAACCTTGTAGTACAATTTCAGAAAGATCCATACACTTACACACAAGTTATTGTCCTGAAACTAGAAAAATGCTTGTTTTTTGCCCCTTTTTTGCCCCTAATTCCTAAAATATTGAGGCAATTACCCCCATCATCAACCCCAGCCTTCCCTTTGTGGTATGGTACCATGCAGTACAATTTCAGAGAGATCCATTCACTTGAACAAAAGTTATTGTCTGGAAACTAGAAAAATGCTTATTTTTGGCCCCTAATTCCTTTACTGTTAGTACCATAACCCCAAAAATCAATCCCAACCTTCCTTTTGTGGTTTTGAACCTTGTGGTAAAATTTCATAGAGATCCATTCACTTAAACTAAAGTTAGAGTGCGAAAACCAATGTGTCTTCGGACGACACCAGACGACGACGACGACGACGCCAACGTCATACCAATATACGACCACAAAAATTTGTTTGCGGTCGTATAAAAATATATCTTAATCATCGTTTTTACCTGTATAAGAATGATGTTTTGTGGATCGAATTAGTCAATTAAATGATTT